AGTTGACATTTGGTGAAACTGTAAGGATAGTAATTTGGCTGTGAAATAGGAATAACCTGATTTTATTTATTTTCTTGTGAAATAATACTGCTATAGAAAGTATATTTCTATTAAATAAGGAATATACACTAACAAAATTTTGTTAGGTTGTTACTGTCACGATAGACCAGTTGATTTGTATAGTTTGAGTCCCCGCACATATGCATCTGAAGCTTATGTTTGATCTGTTGATCATGATAGTTTTAAACAAAGTTTTAATTTAGTTTTTCTATTGTCGTAAGAATGACCTCATTGCGAATGCTCTCCATCCGTTGAATACTTCGACTTATTTTTTTATGAAGAATTCTGTCCGCAAATTAAGATTTCAAATGTTTGTTTTTGAACACAGCTCTTATCATCAGTTCACATATAATTCGTCATAAATGCGTTTTTTTTTCTCCGTGAATAAACCTAACTATTGTGGTTTTATAATTTAGTAAAATGCTGGCATTTGACCTCCATTACATTTGAAGATTCTCTTGTTTTTATGAGGATTTCAAGAAGCATTTATGATATATTACCTATTGAGGTATGGTAACTTTGGTAAGGAAAAAAATTGAGAGCAAACGATAACCTAACACAAATGGGTAGTATCATTTCTCGATCACTATCTCATACCTATAGGAATCTGTTTCTTTTATCTGAAAGAGTAACTAATATCTCTTGTTTATTATTTAAGTTCCCTTGATAACTCTTTCAGTGAATTTTATACTGTATTCAGTGAAAAAATTTATCATGGACGAATTTCTGGTTTAAAAACGTAAATTCTTTTTTTATCATGAAATCAATAAAGATGATAACAGTTACTATTATTATGTTAATCACATATTGTTATCAAAATATTATGGTTTATTCAAGAAGCTCTGATAAAATATCTCAATCAGACTCACACTATTGTTATTTTCTCTGAAGACTGAAAAACATAAAAACATGTGTTTAATTCACATCAGTACAATTTTAGTTGTTTTTTTCTTACTGCAAACTGGTGTAAAATTTCAAGGGAAAAACATCAAACTGTTTTTTGAAAGTTTATCGATTTGATCCAACAAAAACTAATCAGTGAAAATTTGGCTTCCGAGAACGTAATTTACTGAAGTTATAATGTTGTATTTATATTTATTTAAGACAATATCGCAGTCGGTTAGAAAATAGAGTGAAATTATATCATAAATCATTTGGAAATATCAAATACTGAGAAGAGGTTGTTTAATGGTCTCGTAGCCAGTGAAAAATGCTGACGTGAAGATAGTTTTGAGATAATTGTTCACTTGATGAATATGTATAGAAGAATAAGTGAGTGTTTAAGATCTTGGTGGGATGAGGGATTGAACAAATAACGATTATACATATATATTACGCTTGAATTGGTGGATTGTCAAAGCTTTTTTATTCAGTAAGTTTTTAAAATGTACCCTCCTTGAGTCAATGGTTTTAATCTATGGATAGCTTTAGAAGATTATTCTAGTGGGACGCCGTGACCAGAATTTACAACTTCCGTGATGTTTTTGACAGCCAGTTGTAATAATTCTCGGACACGTTCTAAATACCTGGTTTTGTGTCGATGATACGACTTGTTCCTCAAGCAAACGTAAAGTACATACCGATGTTGTTCTAAGCGAAAGATCACCTCTGATAATTCTAAAAATTGAAAGCGAGAGCGATTCGTAAATATTTATTTACTGCAAGCTGATCAACTTTTCTAAACCTCAAACTAATAATAATCATGTGCTCACTAATGAAAAACTTTGAGATGATGTTAGCAGAGTTCTGATAAAAACCTATGATCGGTGAATTCTAAACATGTTCAACATGATTTAAGCTACATAATAAGTATGGATGGTGATCACACAATATTTTAAATTGACTGAAATCGGAGATTTAAACCACTGAACTCAAACTCAGCTGTTTGAAGTTCAGGGTCCAAACCCTAGAGTAGTTGCGAATGCATATTAAAGTAAACTAATACTGTGATGAAATAGTTACACAGTGCTTCCTGGTTTTAAAAGGTTGTATTACTAAAATTGGTCTGTTGTGTAAATTATTTAATCGTGCATCACTTAATGTAATGTATAGTGACACACAATTTTTATAACTATAATAAAATATCATATCTATCCTTTTTGTATGATGTTGTATACGTAGCACACTCACGTTCGATATTTTCACTATTTAATTGTATCAGTTGTGAATAGACTTCGTTTGTTACCTAACTGATCCTTCTATTACTTTCGGCATTTAAACAAATAGTACCTACATAGTTCTGTTTTATCGGTCACGCCATTGACTGAAGAGTACATCAATGTTGTAATACCCTTTTAGACCACATTACAGTGCTTGGAACTAGTGACCTAGATGACATATAATTAACGTTTTTGGTTATATACTTCTCTTTATGCTGTCAATGAAAAATACAAAGGGAGAATATTTAATAGTTGAATGAAGTTCATTTATGGTCGTTACTCAAAAAGAAAGTCTGAAGTAAAACATCACATAACGGTTGTGATTATTTTTTCATCCGATATATTACTTGGTTCTATGTGTTATTTTCGTCTACTCTTATTTGCATATTGTCATTTCAGTTTTTTCGGATTAATATTTATCTTGCATTTTAATTATCTCTTTCGCTTTCGGTCAGTTCCTCTACAGATGTCACATAAATAGGCAATTCTGAAATAATAAATTGATAGTTGACCGTATTGCACGTGCATTACTAATTTTGTACCTGATGTTTAAAACTGTCTCAATTCATGCAAATAACTTATCAATTCTGAGTTTTACAGGCATGAAGAGCAACTGGAGGAAAATCAAAGAGGCAATCACTTCAACATGTCATGAGGTTCTGGGCCACAAGAAGCACCATCACAAGGAATGGATAACTCTTAATACACTGGATAAGGAGGAACAAGAAAGCAGCAATCAATACCAGCCGAACAAGAGCAGAAAAAGCCAAGGCACAAGCTAAACACACAGAAGTAAACAAGCAGTTGAAGAGGAGCATAAGAACTGACAAACGTAAATATGTGGAAGATTTAGCAATGACGGCGGAAAGGCCTACAATCGAAGGAAACATGAGAGAACTGTATGACACGACAAAGAGACTCTCTCGAAATCACCGTAAACCAGGAAGACCAGTGGAAATCAAGGAAGGCAAGGTAATCACCAACATTGAAGAACAACGAAACAGGTGCGTAGAACACTCCAAAGAACTCTTGAATCGACCAGCTCCACTGTACCCACCCAATATAGAAGCAGCACCCACGAACCTCCTATTCGATGTTGGCCCACAAACAATCGAAGAAATCAGCATGGTCATCAGAAAAATCAAGAGTGATAAAGCAGCAGGACCAGACAACATTCCAGCAGAGGCACTGAAAGTAGACGTAGCGGTAACTGCAAAGATACTCCACATTCTCTTCAATAAGATTTGGGATGTCAAACAAGTACCAACAGACTGGAAAGAAGGACCTCTCGTCAAAATACCAAGGAAAAGCGATCTCAGCAAGTTTGATAACTACAGAGGCATCACTTTTCTCTGAATACCGGGAAAATTCTTCAACAGAGTATTGTTAAACAGGATGAAGGACTGCGTAGACGACCAACTTCGAGACCAACAGGCAGAATTCCGTAAGGATAGATCCTGCACAGACCTAATCGCAACACTGCGGATCATTGTGGAACAATCAATCGAATGGAATTCACCACTCTACATCAACTTCATTGACTACGAAGAAGCATGTGATAGCGTGGACAGGACAACACTATGGAGGCTTATTCGACACTACGGCGTGCCTCAGATAGTCAATAACATACAGAATTCATATGATGGATTAACCTGCAAAATCGTGAGTGCAGGACAGTTGACAAACTCGTTCAAAGTAAAGACCGGTGTCAGGCAAGGTTGCTTACTCTCACCCTTTCTCTTTCTACTGGTGATCGACTGGATTATGAAGACGTCAGCATCTGGGTGGGGGAAGCATGGGATACAGTGGACAGCTAGAATGCATTTGGACGATCTAGACTTTGCAGATGGTCTGTTTCTTCTATCCCAAACGCAACATCAAATGCAGGAGAGAACGACCAATTTAGCAGCAGCCTCAGCAGAAGTAGGTCTCAACGTACACAAAGGGAGAAGCAAGATTCTCCTATACAACATAGCATGCACCGATCCAATCATAATTGACGGAGAAGACTTGGGAGATGTAAAAATCTTTACATGTTTGGGTAGCATCATTAATGAACATGGTGGATCTGATGCTGATGTGTAAGCGCGGCTCGGTAAAGCAAGAGCAGCATATTTACGACTGAAGAAAATCTGGAACTCAAAACAACTGTCAACCAACACCAAGCTCAAAATTTTCAATACAAATATCAAGACAGTTCTACTGTATGGGGTGGAAACCTGGAGAACTACGAAAGCCATCATCCAGAAGATACATGTGCTTATTAGCAGTTGTCTACGCAAAATATTTCGGGTCCTTTGGCCGGACACTATTAACAACAACCAACTATGGGAGAGAACACACCAGTTCCCAGCGGAAGAAGAAATTAGGAAGAATTGCTAGAAGTGGATAGGACACACATTGAGAAAGGTACCCAACTGCGTCACAAGACAAGCCCTCACTTGGAATTATCAAGGCCAAAGGATAAGATGAAGAACAAAGAACACATTAGGCCGAGAACTAAAGATAGAAATTACGAGAATGAACAAGAATTGGATGGAACTAGAAAAGAAGTTCCAGGACAGAGTGGGTTGGAGAATGCTGGTTAGCGGCCTATGCTCCATTAGAAGTAACAGGCGTAAGTAAGTATTAGTTTATACAGAATAAGTTTATCAAGCGTTCGGTCCGGAACTGATTATTCTGAACGTGACACAATTGCATGAGATCGAAAGAAATTGAGAGACCGTTTCTTAAGTTATTTTGAAATGTTGATGTGATAAAGACTTCAAAACAATGTTTATTGAACCCATCAATATGTTTCGGCTGACAAATATTGTGAATAATTGGTTGGAAATCACATAAGCAGTACGATAATTAAACGGAAATCCCAGAGAGAGCGGTACAAAATGTTGTTGTTTTTCTTATTCACTTATTTATATTTTTTAAAAGTAAATATAAATATCACAAAATTCATGCTCTCATGAAGCACAAAAATGGGCAGTTTTGGAAGAGGGCATCGAGGGAGGGAGGATTAGATGAACCATTTGATTAAATATGTGCAAGTGGAACAAAAATAAAAGCTAAGTGGAACAATCATAGGTAATTTTGTAAAATATTTGAAATAAATAAATCAGAAACCCATAAATTAACCTTTTGCAAAACATACTTAACGTCTTAACATCAATAGTACAAAAGGTGTAATAAATAAACCGATAGACGCTGCCATCGATACTGAGTTAGCCACAGTACCGCTTGTGTGCAGAAAAATATGTTGTAACAGACTGAATAAACCAGATATGACACTTGAAATACCATTTAATGTGCCAAAATAACGTATTGGAAATCCTGTCAACAAATAACTGACATATGCGCTAAACATTAATGATCGAACAATAACTAAACAGACAAATGCCGTATAAATTGCAACCATGTTGGGAATAAACATCATTGTACTTAAAATAACAGCAAATATGGACATTATTGTCATCGCAGGTACTAAGCCACAAATGTAATTATAATACATTTTTCTATTAGATACATTGAATTTGTTACTAATCAGTATATTTGCCACTTTATCACGTGAACACCTCAAAGACAAATCAATAATTACTCCAGAAACAGGTGCTGCGAAAAAGCCGCACATTGAGAAAACTGAAGACACTTCTAACAGATGTTCAACTAGTTTCTTATCTGTTGGAAACAAATGAACTAGTTGTCTGTATAACTGACTTAAGAATATGGCAAAACGAAATAAGCCAAGAGTAATCCATAAATTAATCAATGCATACGAAGCTGAAAAGATGCATTTTCTCAGTGTTGGGAAACGTTCATTAATCACATTCGACAGTTCTTTGTCAACATCAACTGATGATGATTCTTCCAAACAACTTTCCTTTGAATAAGAAACAAAAGCTCTATAAAATGTTGTTATCAGTTTGACAAAGGTAAAACTATGAAATAATTCTAAATATATAAACACAATCTAATTATAAACAACCGTAAAACTAGTCATCTAAGCATTAATAAAGTTTTCGAGTAATCTGTACATGATCCACAAATCACTCTTTGTTATTAATAACCAACGCACAAAGACATTGTGTTCATCCGCTATCATAAATAACACAATGGGAACAAACTCAGTTTTCGTCTAGCCGCATAATTAATAGATGAATTTCTTGATTCTTGAACAAAAGGTGGATGGAGATGCAAAGCATGTCAGATTTTAACGTTTGTATGTTATACATATTAAACATCATCTTAAAAAGACAGAACATAGAGTCGCTTAAACCTTTTTTGTCGAACTGACATGCACCTAGCCTAAACACCATACTTTTGATATTTCATACAAAAGCAGTTCACGAAAACAAAATATTAACATGTTGTTTTGCAGTCTGGATTTGTGACAACATTGATTTTAGGTGACGATGATATTTCAATTGTAGGAACTTAATAACATAGTCATACGTAATGATTAAACAATACTAAACTTTTACTTACTCGTGACTGAAAAACTGATTTCGTAACTTCAGTTTTTGCAAATTTCTCCATATCTACTGACTTCATAGTGAGAATGAACATTGCTATGAACAAACCCATAATAAATGAACCTATTGATAAAGATATAAATGACCACTGAAGTGAAAAATAGGGGTGATATTTCGATACAGCATACGCTACAACTGTACTCGAATCAAAGGCTCCGGAAATAAGTGATATGCATATTCCACGAAAATGTGGGAACATTGAACTAATTTGTTGATTACAAATTAGGCTGCATATACTACTTAGTGCAACCAGAGCACCAGCAGTAAAGAAAAGTGGTGCCACTTTGCCAGTTGTAAAAGCAAACATAACAGTACCGGCAGCATACATTAACGTCGAAACCAATTTTAAAGGTCTCAATCCAACTCTATCCATAAATATTCCGGCCAACGTAATGAGGCACAAATGTGAAACAAACCATATGTTAAAGCTGATTCCAAACATATCTTCGTCGTACATACAACCAGATTGTGTGCAGTTGTAAGCGAATAAACCCAAGGATTTGTAAATATCAATTAGGAAATTAAATCCATAGTGATATCGTCCAAAAAAAAATAAATCCAGAATACAAAGAATAAGTCCTACATAACGACGTATACTGGACGGAAAACAGTTGTCAAGTTGTGCACCTAAAAGAAATTTGTAAAACTTTAGCTGTATAACCAATATTGATATGATTTATGAAGCTTTCATTACATCAACTAAATTGATTATTCATTTCGACGAGTAGTATAAACTATCAGTTACGGTTTAGATTCAACAAATGAATATGTACTAACATATCCAATAAGCCTAAAATTAATTAAGACATTTAAAATGTTGTTTAAAAGAAATTTCACGCCAGTGCATGAAGGCGTAGAAACTAATTATTAATAACAATTCAACCGTTGTATAAAATGAGTACATCTTTTATGACTGAGTAGGATAATAAATATTTTAACAATTCCCTTAGTTATAATACAACGAGAATACAAGATAGAAGATGGAAAATAAAGTTGAAAAGCATATTTATAAATAATTATCGTTGGCTCACATAAAATCTTATTTCACACATAACATGTTGCAAAACACTGAAAACTAGTTGATGCAAGATAATATTTTTTAAAATAACACAAAATTAAGGCATTTGGCCATTTAAAATTGAATAAGAGTCCTTTATTATTATTACTATTATTATTGACTTTATTCAACATTATATTTTTGGTACAGTACAGAATTCTCAGCACAAAGTATTTCAAAAAGTTTCCGTTTCTTACTTCTTCGTCGATCCTGACGACAAATATTGAGTGGTCGCCAGCTAGAAGTTAGCAGTCCAGGAGTCGACACCTGAATAATGTTCTTTCTTTTCGCTGCATATTGCCAGCAACCATGATGTCTTTTTGTAACTCATATGGCGGAAGGTTGTAAGCCTTTCATAAGCGCACCTTATCAGGTTGTGCAATTAATAAACATAATGATGTTTTAGAACAAGCAGAAACAGATTACTTGTTGAAATATCTAGAGGGTAGAAACAAGTAGCCCAGATGTTCAAGTAAGCCGCCAATTTACCTCATAAAGTAAGATGATTAGACTGTTACATTCACCATTTTGATAACGTAAATGGTTATCCTGATTATTCTAGCTAAACCTTTCATTAGTCAAGTAATAAAAAATCCGAAAAATTACCTAGTTAGGTATTTTAACAAATCTGTGATTAAATCGGCCTAAAAACGGTTTCAATGAAATCTCAATTTCCAAAGTCGAGTATGACACAAATTTATGAAAAGCAGTTGTAAGGAAAAACCGAATAACAATGAAAACTATTGATATACGAACAGGTAGTTCATGAGATTATGCGTTTTGAAACGAAACTCAGTCCATACTATATTATAAGTTTCATGTGGAGATTTACTTCAGCTACCGTTCAGTTAGAGACCACTGTTGTAAAATACCTTTTTCATTGGTCATAGGTACGACGTGCCTCACTTAAAAGAATCAGCTAATGTTGAAATCAATGTTTTCAGAAAAATCAACTGTCCAGAGTGAAAATACTACTATTTTATATTTAGTAATGACCATTTTCGAAAAGTCTATTAAAAATATGACACATATTTGAGGCACTATGACATTTTATAAGTTACACTGCAGCACACAGAGAGTCATGAGCATAAAGTTGCTCCAAAATATTAGATTATTTAAAATTCAACCAGTCACTACTGACAGGATATTTGAAATGTATAAAACTTCAATCGTTTTTAAGATCAGTGGGAAATAAATTCGAATTGTTTGGTAGAACAGCTGTCTAGAACATGTTTTAATTATTGTGATTTCAAATAAATTCACACAAAGCATCTACGCAGTTTTTGCTATTTACTAAAGCTAGATACTACGTTCATCATCAATATCCAGCACTATGGGTCATTGAAAGTTGGGAATTTTCCAAAAACTCATAGGATTTCAGACAAATTTGACTCACATAAAGACGTAATAACAAACACAATTCGATGTTTTTTATTACCATTTTCTTGGCCAAAAGTCGTATTTTTGTTTAGTATTTCAAAACTGGACAACTTGGTAACTTAAATATTTGAATTTCTAAAAAAACTTTGATTAAACTAATCAATTTTTTCCTTTATAGAGCTATTACTGTAAATGAATAAATTCCCTATGCACGTAAAATTAAATAAGAGCAAGATGACTGCAGTTGGTAACAAAAAATAGAGACTTTCATACACATCCATTAGTTTAAGTCGCCAAAACACACTGTTGCAGGAAGATGAGATTAACAACAAAAATGTTAGAGTAGAAGTAGCAGAAAAATCAGTGGTCGTAAAAAATGACTAAGAACAGACAATATGATTTGAAAAGAAAGAATTAATTTGAAGAACGGAAGTATAATATATTTTCAAAACTTAAAATTTAAGTAAAGACGGAGAATAGATATTTCTGGTCCATTGGGATTGATTCTGAGTTATTTCGCCTGGTGTGCTCAGTCATCAATGGTAATAAATGCCTAAACCCCAACAAACAGTGATTTCATGAATTGATGTAACGTAACGTAGCAATAAGTGTTTTATATCATATTCTCCAGAGTGAAAGATACAGCCAAATACTTGACTTGCAAGTATTGAATTATTCAAAAGTGTACCAGTCAAGGAGTAAGATTTTGCATCCATGAGGTTAGAATCACGTGCTAAGCACACAATTCCAACAACTGTATTCTAAAAATAATCTGTCAGTTTTCGTAGTAAATGGAGTATATTGTTTGTTTAGTCCAAATAAATTACAGAAACTTTGAGTAAAAGATCATCCAATGAGACATAGGATAACGGCAATGTGCTATCTGGGATTAAGTAAGTTAGTTAAAAAGCTAACATGACCTACAGCAGTCACCCAATTAGTACTAAACGGCAGCGATTGATAAAACACCGAGTAATAATTTTACATATGCGGCAAAATCCTGATCTATTCACTTTGCACAAGTGCAACCCTATGACATTCAATCGACCAACTTTTACATTGATTATTTTTTACTTTAAGCTTTTTTCCTATATTTGAAAAATATATATTCATTTGGCATCAATGTTTAGTAATCACTATGCTTCAAATATGGCTTAAAAAGGTATATATTCAGAAATATATTAAAGATGGTTCAATTTTTCCGAGCAATTTTCCAATGCTTGCATTAAAACATGTTCAAAATGCTGAATAACATATTATTTTTCTAGACTTATCAGTAAACGTAGACAATATGCGATGAGTTCTAACTAAAATCTGTGACATCTGAATTTTTCAAACAGACGTTTACCTCAATATTTTATTTACCATTCTTTCAAACAGTATTTTATTGCAAAAAATTTGAGAGAACTGGTTCGACTACAATAACCCACTCGCTAAAACAGTATACATTAATAAACACAGAAGATATGGTTTAAATGTTGATAAAGTAGCTTGATCAAAAAATACATAACAGATTATTAACTTTATTTTAGTAAAAACTACTGTTACTAAACATAAACGTTATACGATGATGCTTTATTTCCACACAGTTTCGTAGCTCCTGAGGACATAACATAAGTTTCCAGAAACGTTGATGTTATTGGTTTACCCGTTTTATCTTAAAAACAAAGCATTTTTAAGACCTGTTTACATTAAATGTTATGACAGCACTATAACCTAAAAACCAGTTGCAAACTCATATGCTTGAGTCTCACAAGTATACAAACAATCTCTTTGATGATCAGGTGAAATGAAAAATCCTAATTGCCTAAGACTATGAAATATCATTTTTCCTTTGCTCAGTTTTTTTTGACATAGATAGACGCACTACAAAGTGCGCAATTTCGCTAGTAAAAATATCTTATAGCGCATAATGATTTTCTTAGTAGGTCTTTATCAGGTCATCGTTTTGACTGGAGATGACTTCACGACAACATCAATGATGATATGTCATGAAGTAAAACTAGAGAAACTATGACAATTAACATAAATGCAAATGAATGAATCATTTATACAAAATCATTTGTAATGTTTATCAGCAACTCATTACAACCAAAATTCTAACTAAAACCAAATTCAGTCAGCCCAACCCGTAGATTATCAAAGACGCATTGACAGTTTGTGGTCGATTCATTTATATTATGAAATTTATTAAAAGTAGGATCTCAACAGTGCATATTATTAGTCATCGTAACTAGTGTTTGGTAGTTTCAAACCACGAACAATAATACTCTCACTCCATATATAAAATACTACGATTTTCAGCATTTTATTCTCGTCAATGGCCAACTTTACGGCTTCCGTATAGAACATATAAAAATTAAAATGCAGTTTACAACCACATTTTATGTACATATACTTTCCATTCGCAAACAAACCGCTGTAAGATAAATTTTCAACTTCACTTTCTAAGTATTTAACGTGATTTCATGACTCTTTGTCAACTTTTTCTGACAGCGCTACTTAACTATGTAAGTTTTGCTGACTTTCTTCAGTCCTACTTACCGAAAAATAAATCCAGTTCGAATTTATTAAAAATTTATTTCCATGAAAGTTGGGGCTGTAAAACCTAGTGCAATATAATGCGTAGTGGCGGTAAACTTTTTGCATTCCAAACGAGTAATCAGACAGGTCTTTCTTATATAAGAATAATATGTTGCCCACTAATGCGAATTCTGGAGTGTACGGATATGTCGGTTAAACTGAAAGGGTAAGAACTGTTGTATATTAAGACCAAAAATCTGAATATTTTATGATTTATTTAGAACTCTCAAAATGTACAAAAAACTTTCTTGATGATAAAAAAAAGACAATGAAGGTGAAAAGTACTTTTTATATATTACGAATCTGTGGGATAGAATTTCTTCAAAAGATAGTAAATCATCCCTTATTATTCTAACTCTTTACATAAAGTTTCCGAACTATCATCCCTTTTTGCTATTGTTTGCGAGCAACAATACACAATGATAGTATTCAGACATCATAAGATGGATGGCTCTCTGAATTCAAGCGACAAACTATCAGTTTGTTGTTTTTCGCTTGGCTTACGAAAATTCCGGAACTTCCGATTGTAATGTGTCCACTAGCTATACATCCATTAAAAGTTATGCCTTTTAGAATATTCCACTTGTACTCTTATTCTTTCAAAGTTTCTTACTAGCAGTGAATCCGTTGTAATGCAAAAAGGTTAATATGACTCATAAAACATGATAATAAGAACAAACATACCTAGGGTTTTTTACGGAGATCAAGAGTTTTTATTGGGCTGCCCATTGTAGATCACAGCAAATCGCAAAGTATTTGCTTCCAAAGTTGTTAGAATTTCAGTAACGCTTCTAAACGTCTCTCAGAAATTGTTTGAAAAACTGCATACTGAATATGATGCGTCGCAAACAACAGAACAAAGTTGTATTAGCGTAATCAAATACTTATTTCACCCCCTGAATATAAATAGTAAATGTGATTGCCCTGTGTAATATTAAAACTTCTTCAACGCGTTAAAGTGCAGAAAGTTCTTAAGCTTGAGTGGTAGGAATTTACGGAACTTAGTAAGGTTTAAACGAAAGTTTACAACGGTCAGCATGAAGCAACTCGCATAAATGTGATTTATAAGTAAATTTCAATATACTCACACAAACCCATCTTCAGGATAATCACTCTACCGCCTTTTCGCTCTCGAGGTAATGAAACTGGACTTCAAAAAGTGTCAATATCCAATGTTCTTGTGATCAGTCCATATTAGTTAACTGGTCCGTATTCATAAGGTTCATATTCTAGACCTATAACTAGCTTGATTAGTCGTCTGTGTACTTAGTCTAAGAGGTTTTTATCTTCTTTAAAGAGAATGGATGCAACGACAGTGTAGACTTCAAAATGGGTCTGTGTGTATATTGTAAGCAGTGTTAGGAACAACTTTAGGATGACTGTGCTAGGTTTTCTTACCATAGAATGGTGAATTGTGTTTCACTTGGCTGCATCCTTTCTTGAAAATTACCATTTGACTGATTATCTGCTGCCTATTCTTCTATAATTGTATGGTCCTATTCAAGCTCAAGTGAATACTCTTCGCTTTTTATGTATCTATAAATCGTTCTATTGTCTGAACAGGTCAGTGATACCGACCTAACATGTCGTCGAAAAGATCAAGAACAGGAGTAGACCTAAAACTGTTCCGCGTGAAGCTCCTGATGCTGAGGCCCTTCAACCTTCAATCACTTTATTTATTTATCTGTAGCGGTAAATAAATTCCCAAAATCAATATCTCTGTAAGTTTTCGACATTAGAAGCTAAAAACATGTCTTAACAGACTCACCTAGCTGAAGACGCTCGGTCATGCATCCGCATCGGATCACGAGTGGGAATGTCGTGCTCAACAACCCCTGCAATCGCTAGCCAGATTAGATTAAACGATCCTCGATATATTGATAGCATATCAAATATATCTCCGAACTTCCTCGCTTCTGTCTTTTTATTTCACTTGGTGGGTAAGCTTCATATTAGGAGGTGTTACTGGTTAAAGCGTTGTCAAACTCCGAATACCTTTGGCATCATCAGTACATAACATTCGGTTATCTAGGTGGTTTCGGAACCAGTAAAGACATTAGTCAGTGAACGTCTTTCTTGCAACCTTCGATATGAGAATTACGTGTGGTACTGTATCAAAGGCTGTTTCGAATTCAAGGGACATTACATGAATTGGTATGCTTCGGTTCCAAAAAGTCATAGGGCTTTATCAAGCTGTGAGTAGATTGGGCGCACAGAACCTTCCTTTCTCAAGCCTATGTTGAGATATGTGGAGGTCGGTAGTCTTATTATTCCGACTAGTCTGCAATATGATAGATTTTTCTATATCCTTTGAATACCGAAGTGAGAGTACACTAGTTCCATTCATTAGGGAGCTACTGAGAATCTAGTAAGCACTTGAACAGATCACACGTCAATGAGCTAATGGCTTCAGTTCGCTGGTTCAGGATTATAGGTCGGATGTTGTCACATCCTGGTAACTTTCCTAAGCACTAGGATTTTACTTTCTCTAAAACTAGTCCAGAAGTTAGTTAGGTGTCTGCCATATCCTCAAGTGGCACCAAAATTGAGAGATGTTCTGCCGTTTACCATCATATCGAGGTTATTTTTAGTACTATTTTGAAACCTTGATTAAGTATTCTGTTATTCAGAATAGGGACTTACTAATTACTTATTATTGGTAAAGGTAGCTTTTTTTCTTTTTATTCGTTTCTGCACTCTGTCCGTTACCTGTTATTTCGGACAGTCATATCAGAACTTTTACAAACAACGACCATAGATAAAAAGAATGTGTATTTATTGCGAGATGTTATACAGTATTTACGTAGTATATGTACATAGCCTTCAATCGTACAATTGCACCTATCGGTGTTTCCTACCATCTGATATGTCTTCTCGTTTGGCCTCCAAGTGTTCTGCCAGCTACATGCTACATACTTACTCCGTCGGACAACTATAGCAACTTCAACGTCACGTTCAGCCACACACAAATTGCAAACAGTCCTATGAGTAGCGTCCACTGCATAATATGGCACAATGAAGGTTCTACCTGAATGTTCAGGTAAGAATTTATATTCATGTCTCCCAACATTTTCTGTTTTCCCCGTTACCTTCAGGATTCCAAGTTAGCACTTTCCTCGTGATGCAGATTGCTGTTTTTCAGAATACATGCTCTACCCGCCACCAGTGTCTTTCCACAACAGCATCTTCAGATTGAAGATGGTGTGTTTTATCCCACAACTGATTGTTGCCGATGGTATCCAGCCAACAGATCTATAGTATCTTACCAAGACAACCGCTTATAAATATCTGTGCCTCTTTGATGATGATTGTAGTAGTTCTTCAAGTTCAATCTTTGTGCAACAGAACTGAATCGACGTTCGCACTGAAGATTTTGACTCATATTTGTAGACAGTTGTTTTGAGTTCTATATGTTCTTCAATTGTAGGACTTCTGCCCTTGTTTTGCCCATCCTCGCCTTTGCATCTGCATCCGATCCTCCACGTTCATCGATGATGCTTCACAGGTACGTGAAATATTCCACCTCCTCCAGAGTTTTTCCATTAAGTGCGATTGGGTTGGTTGGTGTACTCAGTGTTGCATCTGGGGGTTCATGTTTCTGCCCTTATGTACGTTGTGGCCTACTGGTGGTAACTTTTTTTCACGTGGTTTAGGAATTCTTCGACTTGCTCTTTTGTAGGGTGTATTATACTGTGATTATCATCTTATCCTGTACATCGGGTACATCTTACTGTGAAAAATAAGGAAAAAACTTATTTTTATTCGACAGACAATTATTAGTTCGTATTGTACCTATTGCGGACTTAAATCATTAATAGATCTGCAATTTATTATATACTCATAGTCTCTAATCCTAGTATTAACCAGTTTAATACTTAATAACAACTAATACTCAGATATTATATTTAATTTAACGAGCACTGTGCTCACTTATTTTCATATCATGTCCAATAACTCCATTAAAAGACGATTTTCACCAACTTCTAAGCCAAATAAAAGGTCCAAATCTGTAACCCCTACAACTGACGACTCAGTGCTTGACAATGTCGAACCTTTAACTACTGAAAAATATGTATATTGTACACAAATGTCCCTATCGTCACCAGATTCTCCCTGTCGCAGCCCCTCTATCTCTACGTGCGGTCTGCCAACGGTAAGACTGGTGGACATACATGACACTATACCTACGTGCATCGAAAAGTCAGCACAGTCTACTAGACAATATGTACTACCAAGGCCTAAGTTTAAAATTTCAAAAACTAAAGAGTCCAATGGTCCTCCTCATACACACCAAAATACTGATAGATATAGTAATGAAATCCGACAGCTGCAAAACTCTCTATCCGAAATTAACGGCAAACTTGAGAAATTAGCACCCCTCACTCATATATGGGGCCTTGACACAGATAGAAATCTTGAGCAACTCGCTAAAGCTGAGTGTATTTTGGAGTTTGTGGCTGAAGAAGTGACGAAGAGAGTGATGTCCTCCTTCAATGCAGTTGTGTATAACCTTCCCGACCGCACACACCCATCTAAGCTAAGAGATATTTGCCTTAGAGCATGCGGTATGCCGAACGTTAACTGCAAAGTCATCCGCCTTAGAAAAAAGTCAGACAGATCGACTTGCCCCATTTTGTTTATGTTTGGCTGTTGTAACGATGCTAAGCAGTTTATTAATTCGAGCAAAAATATTAGCTCACTAATTCCATACAAAAATATAAAAGTCACTCCAGACCTTACGCCCTGTCAACGTCGTGTAAGAAGACGCGAAGCGATAGAATTGAATGGGAGTGTTACAGTTAATAATCAGTCTGAGACAGTTTGCAACACAGCAAATACTTTAGAACACACGAACAATAAGCATGACACCACTCCACATACGGCTGATCACTCTGTTGATCTAGATGAGTCTACAGATCAGAAAACTTTGGATAAGATACGGACCCCAACTGACACCAAAAACCATAACGACATGACTAATCCCAGCTGTTCGTTCAGTAATGTACTAAAATGTGAGTCGTGTAACAACACACGTGCAACCAAACCTATACACTTGAAAATTTGTCCTCCTAAAGATATTCCACAAGTAGACTTGAATGAACGTAAGTTCATCTCACAAAGACAACGAAAGGCTCCAGCTCTGAAAATAAAGGGTGGGAAGACAAAACTCATGATACCGAGTAGGGAAACACGTAAGATTGAACCCAACTGCTCTATAGGTATCCCAAGAACAGTGAACAGGTTCTCTCCGCTGCTATCGTATAACTTGCCTTCAGCACCTCCAAGTTGCAAAATGGGTGGTGGGCTTCAACGTAGCAAGCCTTCTTACACACAGACTAGTGAAAACTACCGGAGAACTGCCCACCCAAATCACCCCCTGAAGCCTAAAACCATAAATACGAATGGTAATAATAGGTTTCTCACTCCACACCCTACCTACATTCCCCAGGACCGCAACTGTAATTACTCTCAGAAAAAAAACTTGTCATACCCTTTACTACCGACCCCTCACATAACAACGGCTCCCACGTATATCAACAGTCGCAACTCCTCCCAGTTACGCGTAGCAGACCCCTCTCACGCTAACGTAAATAGCCATAACAGAGGCTACGAGTCTAACCATCAAGACTATTTTGTAAATAACCATACACTTCACAATAGGCCTGTACAAGATTTTTTTGGAATAAGACCCCTAGTGACACCTCTGTTGAAGCATATAGCCCAGGTTATTTCAAACCACATGCAAACCATAAATTTGTTTTCTCCGTACAGTTTCCATCACAGAGTACTCCCCCCTCTCCTCCTGGGTAAACTCCCCAATCAACTTCACTAGCTCATTTGATACATCTCCCACTAAATCTAGCTATCAAAATACCGCGCTAATGAAGAACATTCAATCCCTCATTTCAAACTCATCTCACACCCGCGAGGGTTACGACGACTTTATCCGAGATACCCTCAATCATTTTAACTTAGTAGGCCACTTGCTTAATATATGTCTTATCAACGCTCGGTCGATCTGCAACAAAAAGACGGATTTAGCCCTGTTTGTATCCATATATCAACCATCAGTTATTATGATATCTGAAGCATGGACTAACAGTA